TTTTTTTTGTTTATTCCATTCATTAATTTTCAATATATATATATATATATATAACACTCTCAGGCTGATGACGACCCGGAGGGTACCCCGGAACTTACAGGCCAGTTTTTGAAGACCTCGGCAATTGAAAAGGAGTGCTATAGGCCGCTAATAAATGAAGAGCATCCCAGTCGCTACGAAGAGAGGGCGAAGGCGCTTATACTCTGTGTATCGGGTCATTTTTCTTCCCCGATCATAGGGCGAATGGGGTCATGTTGTACTGGATGCAACCCTTGCTCGAGATCGATGAGATCAAGCAGTACAGCTGGGGTTCAGCTGTCCTGGCCAGGGTCTATAGAGGGCTCACCTTGACCGCCAGAGCCGGGGAAATCTGGATCAAGAACTGTGTTCAATTAATTCAGGTAAATAAATGTACTTACTTGTTATTACTTCATTCATTTGTTATTATACTTTATCCTAATATATATTAACCAAATATTTATGTCGATATCTGTAGGTTTGGGCATGGGAACGTATCCCTCGTATTAGCCCAAAAATGAGGGATACCAACTTTGACAGAGTCCATGGTTGTCCCTTAGGAGCAAGGTAATCACATTTATTTATATTTAATACTTAAAATATTTTAACTATAAAATTTTGTGATTAAAATTTTTGTTTTTTTTTTAAATTATTTGATTTTTAAGGTGGGTGGGATGGAAGAATATGAAACACATCGGAAAGGGAACAACCGCTATCCGAGATCAATTAACGTGGCTGACAGAGAATGATGTAAGATTTTGATTAAGTAATATTGATTATTATATATATTTGTGTTGAGTTTTTTTTTTTATTTTTCTATAACTTAATAAATATTATTATTATTTTTTTACAGTTCAATTGGGTGCCATATAAGCGCCACCTGGACGAGGGTACTCTCCCGGCCTCGTATATAGAAGGTTCACACCTCTGGATGTATAGAGGATGGATCTTCTGTTGAGACGTTCGTGAGCAGCACCTGCCTGATAGGGTCATCCGTCAGTTTGGGTGTCGGCAAGCCATCCCCGACCCTCCGATCATTAGGGGTTTGGCTGAGTACCAGACACACCATCGAGGCCAGGGAATGACTGGGAGGGCATTCTATGATTAGGTGGAGTATCATGGAGCACTTGGGAATGTTTGGGTCGACCAAAGAGCCCAACATGTCCTTCCACATTACCCTGTGGAGTCGTTCCTTGAGCCTGAGCCGGGTTACCTTGATTGGTTTCACTATAGGACTCGAAGACTAATCAGTAATCCTGGCAACAACCCGGTGGTCCAACAGCAAGGAGGCTTTCATCCACTGTCCGAGCAGGGGATGTGCAGTGTAAGTGTTAATAAATTGTGTTTTTTTTTATTATTGTTATTATTTTTTTTTTGTTTAATGATAATAATTTTCAATTTTTTTTTTCAGGCCAATGCCATGGAGGGGGTTTATAACTTGTTATAGACCCTTGACTATAATGCACTCACTCTAGCGCAGCAGTCCATAATCGCAAATGCCCAAAACATGCTCCAAAGTGGACTGACTGTCGGAGGACAAGGGGTCACGCAAGGGACGTCGTCGAGTCAAGTTCTATCTCAAGAGAGCTATGTCCAACCCTAACCGACGCAGTCGCACCGGGCGAGGCATCGACATGCTGCCAATATTGGCGGGCGTAGAAGACGCCGTGTCCGCGACCTCGATGCCAACACCGTGCCTGCCGACACCGTGCCTCCCAATATCATGCCTGAGAAACAAGCAGAAGAAGGTCAGATTTTTTTACTTAACTACAATATGATTTTTAAATTATTTATTTATTTATTTATTGTAAAGTAAAATTTCCGATTTTTCTTAAAATATCATTTATTCGAATACAGAAGAAGCACAGATACAGAAGAAGCTGCCACAGCCTCGTCTTCTTTACAGACGTACCAGCGTCGGAAGGGCTCCCAGGAGCGCAGACCTCCGGATCAATTCACTCCTAGCAACTATTAGGAAATTTATGGACATTTTTTTGTCTTGACTTTTGTGTAATTAAATTAACACATATTGGTATTTTGAATAAATTATTGTGCT